ATCTAGATTCTATTATTATTATTATTATCATTATCATTATTATCATTATTATTGTTATTATTATTATTATACGTACACAAGTAGGGCCTACATGTACGGGTTGATCCGTTGATATAGACTAACCCTATCCGTACGCCCTGGGGTCATCGTGTACCCCCGGGGTTGTATTCTTTACATTTTAGAATACTTCTAGTACGAAGATCTCTTTGAAACTTTCAGTATTTCTGAAACAATCATTTTGACAGACTGCTATGCAAAACGTACGGATCGGATTAACGAGTAACGGATTTCCTTTTTGAAAGTGGTGGCACAGAGTTCCCCAAGTCGTATGGATACTGTGGTAAAAAAAAAAAACGACGTACGGATAGGGTTAATATGAAAACGTCAGATAAGCGAACAAATAAAAAAATTATTATAAACAGGCTTTTCAGCGTTTTTTCGGATGCAAAATCGTGGAAACTCCACGACCCAAGCGTGTTTTAAAACGTCGGTGCTCCGTTCGTACAGAATCGATTATAATGTAGTTAAATTCATTAACAATAAGTGAACGCACACACACCAGATACAGTGGCGGCGTCCCCCAAAAAAACCTCCTCAATATACGCGCGAGCTCACTTTTACGTTTCTGTGATTTCACACAATTTTGCCCAATCAGATTTTTAAAGATCAAATTTGAGTGACCATAATATCTCAGGCCTCTCTTAACATAGATGAAATATAAATGTGTGAGATGATGCAGAATTTATTTAGCTTTAAATTGGTATGCCTTGTGAACGGGTAGTGCAAGGCTATATAACACGATGATTGGGCGATTCAAATTTCTTTTGGACGTCTCTGAATTTGAATATACAGTAAACATTTAGTAAGTAGGCGTATGGGTTTAACGGCACTGTCAACACTCTTGTGTTATTTAAAAAGGCGGGACCTCCGAATCCAACGTCCCTCTCCTATATCTATAGGACATTTATGATCTATTATCTATTATTAACATTTCAATAGAAATATTGACCAAATGCAGGCCGAACAGTGAAATGTTGCTATTAAAACCAACTTGTTTCGCACGCTCATATGACCTTATACAGTTGCGAGCGCCGTAATACTCTTACAAAACTAAACTAAAGATCAAGAGGACGGAGCCAAATGGGCTGACCGGGAGCCTTGAAAACTCCACAAAATTACCCAAGTTTAATCATGAACATCTCATCAGGGATTCGAACTACAACCATTCGCACCATAGCCCAGCATGATGCCAGTTGAGCTAGCGGAGTATTCACGTCAGCGTGTTGCTACCTCAGAATTACAAAGATGAAATTTTTGGGCCTTTTTGGGTTATTTTTATAAGATCATAAGTTCAGAAAGCAATTGCTCTATCTGCTCTATCAAAATCGTAAGAATATTCGAAGTCGTTACATGTATCAAGATATTCAAAGAATTGCATTCGAAAAAGCTTGACATGATGAGAAATTCAAAATGTATGACGTCAAATTTCTCAAAACTAAGTACTGGGCAGATAGAACTTCGTAATTCTAGGGTAGGGACGGGTGTATGTATTGGAGGACAAAAGTTCGATTCCGGTGTTTTTCTTATTTCATATGGGGCACGTCCGACTGCGTCCTTGCTGGGACGTTGTAGCCCGCCTCCTAAATGATCTAAACTGTGTCGATGGTGGAATGAAATATCTAAGCACAATCACATGCTGTTTTGTTGCTGGTAGTGCGGCTGGGTTTTTGTTGGTAATTGCGTTATTGTTGTTATAGTGTTTGTTTGTTTTTTGGTTTGGTTTTTCGTTTGTTTGGGGCTTTTTTCGGTGAGTGTGCGTGTGGTTGGGGGGGGGGGGGCATTGTTTGTTTACTTTCGTGGCGCAAACAGTATGGCCTTGCAAGACAGGCCACCAGCATCGGGTGAAATACTTTTTTTTAGACCGAAAAACAAAATAGACGTCTACATGTAATGCGGTCTACTGCCATTGTTAACGACCAAGACAAATTTCTCCCTGCGAGATGAATAAAGATTGTCATTGTCATTGTCATCATTGTCTTACTCACATTCAAGGAGTTGACTTTAACACACATATAAATTATGTAAACCGGCACATATATGACCTAATTGTGTTACGACTACGGTAAAAAAAAAAACCTCCTACTTGTAAAACTAAACTAAAAACGTGTCACCAGTTGCATCACAAAAAAGTGTCTCTGCTGGGGCCAGCAGGTGTGCTGTGTTTAGAAAAGGTGGGGACCGCTTCTGAAATTTTTTCGCACTTTATGAAAAAAACAACCCCATTGAACCTATTCAAAATTGGATGACGCGCATAATTTACAACGTTAATCCTTCAAATTCTGTACATTGAGAGTTTTAAAATGTAGACAACCCACAGGCGCAAACACTTACTTCAGGAACGTCACAACCCACCCACCCACCCACCTTCCTCCATCTCCAATTACGCCTGACAAGGACAAGCAATGGCGAGCACAGGTAAAACATTCTGAAAGCCTTTTACACTCGGCTCGAAATGAGGCGCAGCTCGTTTTAGTTTTAGATCTAGTTCGTTTACCTTTCACCTTAATGTGATAATCTGTGACGTAAGCGCTTTTCGAGCGTTTTATCTTTGGCGGAGAAGGTGCGGTGATGGAGATTTCCACGAAAGTCAATATTGCACGATCGGATTTGGCCGTGGTTTTGGCTTATGTGGAGGCTTGCTTACACTCTTATAGCGCCCGTACGCCCAGGCATGTTAGTGCATGTTTCATAATCTTTCGTGTCCTCTTTTTAGTTAGGCCTGTCTTGAAATAGATTTAGACCTCCGTCTGCTGTCTCTGAAGTCAACCTGTTCTTTGCAGCCTACATGTACTATAACTGAACTCAGTGACTGTTGGGGCTAAAGTTCATCAGTGGGTTCGTCTTTTTTTCAGTCTAGCCAATGTCAGAAGTCACGCCCCCTGTGTTGTCCTGAGTCGGATTTCTTGGTCCTTGTTGTACGCGTGTGAGCGTGAATGCATTTGTCTCTTGCGTGTCTGGGGGGGGGGGGGTGTGTGTGTGTGTGCGTGTGTGTGTGTGTGTGTGTGTGTGTGTGTGTGTGTGTGTGTGTGTGTGTGTGTGTGTGTTTGAGAGAGAGAGAGAGAGATGCTCACGTGTGAGCATGTGTGTGTGTGTGTGTGTGTGTGAGTGAGAGAGAGAGAGAGAGAGAGAGAGATAGAGAGAGAAGGGGGGGGGGGGTTATGTGTGTATGTGTGTGTGCGTATATGCGTGTATGTGTGGGTGTTGGTGAAAGTGTGTGTGTGTGTGTGTGTGTGTGTGTGTGTGTGTGTGTGAGTGTATGTGCGTATATGCTTTCATGTGCGACTGTGTCTACCCCGGTGTACACAACAGACAACCAAACATTAGCGGTTATTCATTAAAAAAACGTGTTGGAATTGCAACATGACCGTTTTCTTGGGTCGTCCTGAACAGATCTAGATCAATTTCGAGAGACAAAATATCCGCGAGCCAACACGG